TTGTGAATTTTCTAGTTTTATTTTTGTTATGGATTTCTTCTTCCCATTGTGGTCAGAATAGATGCTTTGTATGCTGTCTACTTTTTAAAACCTATTGAGGGCAATCTGTGGCCTACCATACTGCTTATTCTGGAAAATGTCCCATGTGCACTGGAGAAGAATGTTTATGCTGTTTGGTGTTGGATATATTCTATATACGTCTATTAGACCTAGTTGGTTTATTATGTTGTTTCCATCCTCCATACTTTCTTTCTCTTCTCTCTGATTGTTCTCTCCATTATCAAGAGTAGGGTACTGAAGTGTTGAACTATTATTGTAGAACTATCCATTTCTCTTTTTAATTCTGTCAGTTTCTGCTTCATATATGTTGATGGTCTGACATAAGTGTGTAAATATTTATAATTGTCATATCCTCTTGCTGTATTGAATCTTTTATTAATACATAATGTCTTCCTTTGTCTCATACCTTTTTTTTTTAAGATTTTATTTATTTATTTGACAGAAAGAGAGAGAGATCACAAGTAGGCAGAGGGGCAGGCAGAGAGAGAGACAGAGGGGAAGCAGGCTCCTTGCTGAGCAGAGAGCCTGATGTGGGGCTTGATCGTAGAACCCTGAGATCATGGCCCGAGCTGAAGGCAGAGGCTTTAACCCACTGAGCCACCCAGGCACCGCTCATACCTTTTTTTATTTAAAGTCTATTTTTACTGATATTAGAACAGCTACCCTGTTCTTTTTCGATTGTTATTGTATGGCATAACTTTCTTCATCCATTCACTTCTAACTGTTCCATGTTTACTTTGTACCAACTTGCAAAATTCTGTTGTCAGTTACAACAGTTAAGCAGTTCATTCTTCTGTGTCTGTAGGGAGACAATATTATCAACTGCAAAAACCACGCGTGGCAGCCACGCTGGGAGTGGGTGTCTCGTTGTGACATTAATAGCTCCAGTGCTTCACATGAAGCATGATACTGCCAGTTGCTTTCCAGATAGATAAGTGAGTCTGCCTGTGCGTGAGACACAGAGAGCCTGAGAGGTCGCCCGTGGTGCACTATTCCTTTCATGTTCCTTACCATTGCCTTCTTCAACAGAAACAGCTCTGACTCCCTTTTCCTACATGTGAAATGTGTGTTTAACATATCTACCCCACCAAGAGGACTAAAATGTTTTTATCTTTGAAATCTTTAAGTTTCACTGAGAGTTTTCCAATAAGCTGTCAAACTTCAAGCCGCCCATCTATCTTTTTTGTCTCATTTCACATGTACTTGCATCTGCTGCATAGAGATTTTATTTTAGTTTCATATTAATCTTCTGCTGCTGTCTGCAATTTGATCTTAAGCAGAGTATTAAAGGAAACAGAGAACATTTTAAAAGATGTGTGATCCTTGTATGTACTGAGCAGCTCCCATTACAACCACTGATGGGACATTCTCATGAAATGGGCCCATAAGTGGTAGGCTTCTCAGTCATCAGATTCCTCTGAGGTACAAGGCACTTTGACATCATGGACATCTAATGACATAGAGTCAGACATGATGGTGGTCCTAGTTCTAAGATGACTGGAAAAAAACAAAACAAAACATGCTAATTTAGCCCAGTGGATTTCAGCCCGAGAGACTTTGAACAGACATGGAATCTTGCTAAAAGAAGTTATCCTAAAAATTTAGGCCTGTACTGGGGGGAGGGGTACACCTATGTCTGAAGTGGCATAGGAGAGAGATGGGATGATGGAGAAAAAGAAGTGACAATAGGAAAGTAAAATTTAGGTCTGGGGTTGGGGAGTGTCAAGATAAAGAATTGCAGAGCCTAACTTACTCTTATCTGTAATTCTTGTCTCCCCAATCCTGCTCCAGCAAATAATCAGTCCCTGATTTCTAACTTGATCATCAACCTTTTCTAACTCATGCTATGAGTTCAGAAATAAAAGAGAAAATTAAATAATGGAAGAAATTCATCCATTCTAGCCCCAGAAGTCTAGTTTCATGATTAGATCACATTTTATTTATTTATTTATTTATTTATTTATTTTAAGATTTTATTTATTAATTTGGCAGAGAGAGAGAGACAGCCAGAGAGAGACTGACTAGAAACAGAAGGAGTGGGAGAGGGAGAAGTAGGCTGAGCAGGGAGCCTGATGCTGGGCTCTATCCCAGTACCCTGGGATCATGACTTGAGCCAAAGGCAGATGCTTAACGACTGAGCCACCCAGGCTCCCCAGTTGAGTCACGTTTTAAAATATACTTGCCGGTTCTGTCTGTGTGTCTGTCTGTCTGTTTCTCTCATGGCTTTCATTCTTTTATAGCTTTTATTCTGTTTTAATCTTTTTTCAAGCTCTAAGTTTCTTTATTTAAGTCTACATTCTAAATAACTTTAAATCAACAGTCTGAAAGTCAAGTGAAGAAACTTGACTTTTCTCTTGCTGACATCTTTTAAGTTAATAAATGGATGTAACATACACATTCTCAAAATTTAAAAAAACAATGTATTTTTCTGAGAGTTTAAATGAGTGATGGTGGCCTAAATGCTGTACCTGGAGCAAACGATGACTTCACTCTCTGACCCTACATAGACGTTTCTTTGTTGTATTTTGAACGCATGTTTTAAGTAATTCTGTCCTGTTAGTTTAGTACGGACGTCAAAACTGAGAAAAATTCTGACTCATATAACTGCCTGGTCATGATTAAGATTAAGCCGAACTAGAACAAATAAGAGGATTGGCTAGAAGAAAAGAGAAACTGACTTAAACTCAGTTAGCATAACATTTTAGATGGTATATTTTTAAATTATTATAAAATTTAAAATTTATGTTAAAATATACATTGTCATACCCATGACCGAAAATAGAGTGATTGGAGGAGCGAGCATGCAGAATAAGAGAAAAGTAGGGAACATCTTTAGTCTAATAAAGAAAAGCTGCCTGAGTAATCGGGCCTTTCTTAGGAAGAACTGTGCTTTAGGCAGTGTTTGTTTTTATCCATCCCTTTGGTTTCCTTCTGTCCTTGGCACCTGGTATCCTTATATGACCCCTTGGATTTCCAGAGTCCCTAATCGACTAGATCAGAGCACTATATTGTTCCTAGTTTCTCATTTCTTACCATTGAAATTTGGCCACCTATACTTACTTCTTAGGGCTCTGGTTTTTGATTCGTTGAAAACAGATGGTGTCTGAGTCAGGATGGAGCTCACTGAAAAAGGAGATTTTGCATAGACTGTGGTAAGTAGAATGGGAAGGGGAATCTTACAGAATTAGAACAGTGAGGCCTAATGACTTCTTGTTTTTGCTGCTTTCCACTTTTTTCTCTGTTCTCTGCTTCCTTTCTCAGGCTGTTAACTCCTCCTGAGGGCATCCAGTTGTCTTCTTTTGCCTTTAGCCTTGCTTCTCCCATGGTTAATCCCTTTATGGCTGCTCAGTTTTTCAGGAAGGCGCCTGGATCGACCCTACCCATTACCCCCCACCCCCATCTAGGTCATTGGTTGCCAGTGAGCCATAGACTCCCTCCCAGAGGTGCTCACTCCTTTCCTCCCAAAGTGTGTCTATAACTGACAGGAACCCATTAGATTCAGAGACTCTTGGCAGGACAGGATTTCCTTCAAAGAGGCCGTGGGCAGGAAGGCAATGCTTGGATCTGGAGCAGATGTTTTGGGACATTTGGGAGTCTTGAAGCTCTCAGACTCTGGGGCTGCCCCGCTGAGTGATTGGCGAGTTTGGCAGCACATCTTGCTTCCTTTAACTAATCTGGTGTGTCTGAGAGACGCTGAGGGGATAGGAGGAATCTCAGAATGCTTTCCTCAGCATCAGTAGCACATTTAAAGTCTCTCTTGAGAATACATTCCCCCTTTAGAAATGGTGACTACGTTCTGCCTAAATTCCAAGACATTTTGGCTTCCTGGCGAGGTGTAGGTGAACACTGACCAACATGCATGCCTCTTAGTGTGTTTTATTGATTGCGTAACTTATCTAAAAAGATAGGTCAGCTCTGGTGAGTTTTCCCTAACACATTTTTCTCAGTGTTGGCAGCTGGAAGATTGCTCCCGGTGTGTCGATGCGAATGGCCTTGGGAAGAAAGAAATCCCATCTCCTGCTTAAGGCGCTGGGGAAGAATAAACAAGGATAAGTTTAAGGAGGCCAGTTGTCTGTCTCTTGGCGTCACATCTTCATCTGAGAAGCCCCAAGCAGCTGAATAGTCCAGATTACCCAGATCTAGTCCCTTTTGCGGTCTGCCTTCTTCCAACACACACACACACACACACACACACACACACACACACACACACAACTTCCCTTTTACTCATGAAATTTATTATCCATTATCAAATCTTACTTTTTTATGTACATCCAGTTTTACACGTGAATTTTCTGCATGCAGAGACAGCCTCTCCCCCTTTTCCTATCTAACATCGTTCTAACAGGCGTTCAGACAATGTGACGATGCCTCAGTGAGTTTCAGGGTGTTTATTTCTTTTGGCCACACATACATCTGCTAGCTCAGTCTTTCTCTGTCTCTTTGCGTCTCTGCTTCTCTCTCTTCTTTCCCGTGCAAACATGCACCGAGCCTCTCACAACAAGTACAGATAAATGTCTCGGAGGGCTTCCGAGTTCAATGTCACGCTGGGCAGAAGTGGAGCAAGAGTGGAGGGAGAGTGCGCGCTGTGCGGGCGGGGAGAGACCCTTTCCGGCCAGCAGAGGGCAGCCGAGGGGAGGCGCTGGCGCGCGAGGGCTGAGCGAAGCCTCGCCTCGCTCGGGCAGCCTCAGCCTCAGCACCAGCCGCGGCGGAGCCCGGAGCGCAGCCACTGAGGGCAGCGGCGGCGGCGGGAGCGAGGCGCGCAGGGAGCAGCGGCGCGGGCGGGAAGCAGAAGCCGCCGCCGCCGCCGCCGCCGCCGCGACGGGCAGCCGGGCTCGCCGGCAGCCAGCTCGGGCCCCTGCCCGCTCAGCTTCGTGCCCCCGGCGCCGGGCGGCCGGAGAGTCTGGAGCCCGCGCCGTCGCCGGCCGCGTCCCCCGGGCATGGAAGGAGGCGGCAAGCCCAACTCCTCGTCCAACAGCCGGGACGATGGCAACAGCGTCTTCCCCGCCAAGGCGCCCGCGACGGGCGCCGGGTCGGCCGCGGCCGAGAAGCGCCTGGGCACGCCGCCGGGGGGCGGCGGGGCCGGCGCGAAGGAGCACGGCAACTCGGTGTGCTTCAAGGTGGACGGCGGCGGCGGCGGCGGCGAGGAGCCGGCCGGGGGCTTCGAGGACGCCGAGGGCCCCCGGCGGCAGTACGGCTTCATGCAGAGGCAGTTCACCTCCATGCTGCAACCCGGGGTCAACAAATTCTCCCTCCGCATGTTTGGGAGCCAGAAGGCGGTGGAGAAGGAGCAGGAAAGGGTTAAAACTGCAGGCTTCTGGATTATCCACCCTTACAGCGATTTCAGGTGAGGACTCCCTGTCGCCGCCCCACCCTCCCTTCCGGGCGCGCCCTCCAACACGCTTCCCCGCGCCTGGGAGGGGGCGCCCGGGGACTCGGAGGGAGGGGCTGCCGGGCGGGCGGGCGGGGGGTGGCGCTGCCGGCGGCTTCCACTCGGGCGGATCGGGCTCGACTCTTCAACTAGTTTCCGCCGAGGGGGTTGGGATGAGGAGCTCCTGTTTCCCGGGAATCCCAGGGAGGCTCGCTCGCCTCCTTTGCCTCGTGAACTTTGGGGACACATCGGGGAAGAAGTCCACGGTGACCCCCAGATGGGAGGATGCTAAGTTGTGCCAGAAAAACTTTTACTTCGGAGAGGAGAGTGTAAGGAAGCGGCCAGAAAGTCGCCTTTGGGGTGACTCCCTTCCTCGCGCTGCTCCACCAGAAGTGGGTCCCTCAGAAGGCGAAAAAGGCGCTCGTGAAGTGGAGGAGAGGATGGGGCAAGCGGAGACAGTGACTCACAGGTCCTCGCCGGTCCAGCCGCTCTCGCCCCGGGGGAATGTTAATCTGTTTTTCATCTGCTTAGAGGCACTGGGCATCCTCAGCGCGTTTCTTCAGAATAGCGGCTGGCAGGCTGAGGAAGGGCAGTTTGCGCTTGGAGAGTCCCTGACTTGAGGTGTCAGTGGAGCAGGCGCTGCCAGGCTGGGCAGCGGCGTGGCAGGAAGCTTCGAGCTCCCGAAGCAGAGGCAGGGGGCGTTTCCAGAGCCCCCTTCCCGAAACCGAGAGACACCCTTTCTTGACCTTGACTCCAAGTCCGTTTCAGACATCTTTTCCCTCGTTTCCCGGCTCGGGGAACAAGGGCAGAGAGCTGTCAGCGGTCAGGGAAACTGCTTCCGAGAATTAAAATGAAGTCGTCTCCCCACCTTCTTTGTCGCCCAAGTATTCTTTCTGTTATAAGCGTGTTTAGAGATTAGCGAATGAAGGTCGTGAAGTAGATCCTCTTATTAGTGTGCGCACACCCTGCAGCTCCCGAGTAAGGTTGGGCTTTCCATTGAAAAGGATAAAACTCAGGGTGGCGTTTGTTATTTATTTATTATTTAACCGAACTCTTTCGAAAAGGAATCAGTGGAAGGAGTAGTTGTGCGAACTAGGCAGTTTTAACAGACGTCTATTAAATAGCGAGCAAATAGAGCCACGGAAAGCAGCATTGCTTTGAGCTATGTTTAAGGGAAATTGTCATCAACTCTGTCTTAATAGGAGCTGTCCACAGTTCTGAACGACATTGGCTGTGGAAAACCCAACTCCTGCCGCACAGAGCCTTGGAGTGACTGTCTTCCCCTTCTTTGAAATTTATATATTGTCTCAGAAATCAGTAGCCTCTATTATTAATGCATAGAGTGAATGGAATTTAGGAATTGTATCATTTTAAGGTTCTTATTTGCAAAAACATGTAACAAAGTCCAAAGGAAGGCTTGTAAAATCTAATGACTATTTGACATAGTCTGTGTCAAATTAAGAGCTGGACTGACAGAATGTTTACATTAAGAGGACCTACTAAATAATCAATCATGTTTCCTCCATCAGGAAGATACTTATAGAAGCAAACTAAAAAATGACCTTGCTTTAATCTGTATTAGATTGTCATGTTCTTTAGAATTTTAAAGGTTAACATCAAGTGTAGAATATTGTCTTTCCCTCCATCCTCAGTGGAGATATGTTGCAACCTATTACCTTTTTATCATGAAAAAAGTTTACATGGAAACAGCCTTTAGTCTTAATAACAAAAGTAAGCGTGGTGTTTGCAGAAATCTATGTGGTTCACTATTCACATGCAAATAAAATGCTACACTTTGTTTATTTAATTGTACCTCAATTAAGTGACCACTCTTGATTACTTATAATACTTTTATTTTCTTGAATAATGTGAAAAGAGATTACTCTTTTCAACATGGTGGCATATATTAAAAGATTAAACTTTCCCCACCTACTGGATAAAAACATTGGGCCAACTTTCAGGAACTGGAATGATGCACTGGTATCTTTTGAATGAATGAAGTTCATAAAATCAAAGATTCTCCACATTTTCTCAAGTGAGTCATCTGAGACAAAATATCTGTTTTAAAAACAAAAAAATGTTACTAAATAAATAAATTGAAATCAGATGATGGTTTATTTTTATCATACATTTCAAAGAAATGAGAAATGATTCAAAAGTGAGGTAATACTCTAAACATAAACTGCAGTGTGGAGTAGTTTGTGATATATGATTTTTTCTTGCATCACTGGAAAAAGGAAATGACAGACATAAAGTAAACAATGACTAGGTTTAGGTTTTTAACTGGAACATATGTGAAAAAAGATAGATTTTAAAACTCATAATTACAATATATACCAGTTTTCTAAAACAAAAAACTAAGGAGGTAATTATGTATATACTTATTTGCATGTGTTAAGATGTTTAAATCTTATTATTTCATTAATATTTTTATGTGCTCTCAATACCAGTAGAAGATTTCTCAAAACCTTTAACATGTAAGAATAATGTAATGACAAAAGCAGAAATAAGAGAGATAAAATTCTAACAGTACTTTTTTTCCTAAAGGAGAAACAATATGGGAATAATCTCTAACATAATAGAAATGTTGTGATTATGATCTGTTCACCACCTCAGGCTCCTTCCTGAAAAAGACACTTTAAGGGCAGAGTTTTGCTGTGATTCATACAATGCCACACTTAGGTTCAGTAATAATTTAGCCACTGAGAAAGTAACACTCAAGAATAAATTTCCAGGGAGGGATGGGGAGACACGGGAAATAAAGAATTTTTTTTTTTTTTTAAACTGATACTCTCATAAGCTTTTGCATGGCCAAGGAAGTTTACTCCTTCTGCTCTTCGGTCAGCCCCATACTGCTGCATGCAGTGTGAGCCCGCTACACCAGGGCGTGTCAGGACTTTAACACTGTGCTGATGATCCCCTTTCCAGGATGACTTCCAGGGCAAGTCCCTTTCCACTTCCCTCTGGTGGCCGGGCTGTGCTCCCCCTGAGACTCCCACAGAGCTAGCTAGGTGCTTCTCTCACCTGCAGGCCCAAGAGAGCCGCTGCTGTGTCTGGCAGGTAGTTTTCTCCTACCTCCGGTGTAAGTAGGGCAGAGGCTCTGTATTTCCCTTCTTTCTCAGGAGAGGATGATGTTAGAAATCTTCAGGGACTACAGAAGAGTCAACTATCAAATACTCCCAATACCGTTAGAAATAACTGGGTGGCAGAAAGGGAAATGTGATGATGGAAGCAGAGATCACAGTGATGTCCCAGGAGCCAAGGAAGGCATTCAGTGTCTGAAAGCTGGAAAAGGCAAGGAGTGGATTCTCCCCCAGAGCCTCCTGAAGGAATGTAGCCTTTGATTTTATTTATTTTATAAATAAGATTTGGGTTTGTTTTGTTTTTTGCAAATAATTGGGTGGGAGCTAGGGAGTTTAGTAAAGAAAATCTTAAGTTTTTGTTTATATCATGGTATATAATCCCCCAAACTAGGGAAAATACAGTTACTTAAAAAGTAAAATTACCCTGATCTTTGTGTAGTGTGGATGTGGTCTCAGTCTTGCTGAGTTTCATATGCACAACATACACAGAAACAAGTATCTAATTAGGAGCTTAAATGTGATTTTTTTTTTTGAGACCACGAACAATGGTTATGTATTTATTAGCTAAAATTTTACCTTTTATTTATTTAATAAAAAATTGACACTGGCGTAGCCTTGTGCTTTCAGAGCCAATCCATGGTTCCGACACAATCATTCAGATGGTCTGGAAGAGCAGAGAATGTTTGCAGATGGTTTTTATTATTTGAGTAATTTACCTTGAAAGAATTTATCACCAGACTATTTGCCATTTCAGGGATTCTGACATTATTTTTCTGGATCACAGTTATATAAGGGCTCTTTTATAGTTAATGCTCCCATTTCATATATATTGTCAGCCAACATCTTGCCTCTGGCAAGGGAGGAGATTTTATATCTTGACTTATTATTTCTCCTGCTTCTCATCAATTAGTGCGTATAACTGTAGGAAAAGCTTACTGTGTCCTAAGGACATAAGGACTCTAGAGATGGGAGTCACTTCCCGAAGTTGTTGCCCTTTCTGGCCTTGCTTCTCTGCCTGTGTTGTAGCCACAACAGTGGTGATGTCAGAGGTCACTGATGTGTTCATTAGTGGAGGGAGGCTTCACCCATATTACACAGTAAGTCAGAGAGAAACCTCTGTTTCCAGGAACTTCTCAGGAAAAAACAATTCAACCTTCTGGGCTTAAGGACTAATTAGCCTACTGTTATGCTATCTTTGCAGTCTGCACTCTCCCAGCAATGCTCCTCTTATTTGCTTTGCATATCAACACAGCCAAATTTAACCTTACGGATTTATTTTCTCTGTCAGGTGCACCTTTTTATATCTTATAAATTCAATTAAGTTTTTCTTAGTGGCTCTAGGCCCAATTAAAGTGAACTTATTTGAAAGATTTGCAAGTATGAATTTCTTCCATTACTTTTTCTTAGTATACAAGTTACAAAGCTAAATTTTATTTAATGTTTCACTATTTCATTGCACTTGATAGATATGACAGTGATATTATACTACTAAAATGCTAAGAGAAGTTTTTCATTCTTTTCTGAGCAACTTTCCCTTTAAACCTACTTTTAGGGACTTGGTATTAATTGAGAATCTTTGGACAGATTTGTTTTCAGCAATTCATATTGAATTATGTGGACTTACATTTATGAACTTGAATGTTGATGAGTAATGCAAGAATTTTAAATGCATTTGAACAATTTAGTACTTATTATCAAGAGTTCATTTAACAAAATCTAATTACACTATATCTACTTGGTCAAAAACCATACACCGAAACACCACCAACACCAAAAAAAGCAATTTAAGTAGCATTTGTAATTCTGCATTATTCCACTTAATGAACTTATGTCCCAGAGTAAGAGGCAAGCAAAGTATATCTGATATGTTGCTCATGCGAACAGTTTGCCATT